GTGAAGCAAAAGATATAACCCGAGACGTGATCCGGCCTGGCGGCACCATGGCCGCGAACGCGTTCTCTCGTCCGCGTCAGTATCTTACGGATGACACCGACAGGCACACAGCCCAGAAACAACGCTCATCTACGACAGACTACGCTCAGGTGGTGACCGACCGATCAGCCGTGATATGGAAAGAAAGAGCTACGAGAACCGGTGCCTTTGGTCGATGTGGAACCAGTTGAAAATGGTGGGAGGAGTGGTTTGTTCATTACGGTTCAGACTACACATCATGGATAGTAATGCCGCAGGCACACTTTCGCGAATTTCTGCAAGACCTACATACAGAGCTAGGTCACGCGAGTATCAACAAATTAGAGTTTTCAGTGAGACAACGCTATTGGTGGCCACACCTATATAGGGATGTCGTAAACTTCTGCAACCCGTGTGAACTCTGCGGCAGCTTAAAAATCCGTCCCGCAGTAATCGGGCACCACTCCAGACAGTCATTGTTGGATACCCGAATGGAGTGGTCGGTGTCGACAATCGGGCCCTCACTGGACACGCTAATGAACCATAGATACACTCTTGTACTGGTTGGCTACTTCACTAAATGGCCATATCCTTGAAACAAGCGGACGCTGTGACTGTAATAGACGCCATATTCGACAGATGGATTTACAGATGGGGATGCACTCAGACCGTGGATCTAATTTCGAAAGCGCTTTACTGAGGGAAGTGCGCAAAGCCCTGGGCCTAGAGCAACGGCCTACCATCCGCAGGGCAACGGTCAGGTGGAAAGAATGAACCGCTCACTAAAATCTCTGCTGAAGGCCTTCACAGATATTAAACCCAGGGATTGGGACCGCGTACTCCCACGTCGCCTTCTAGCTTATAATAGCACGATCCAAGGATCCCCGGGCCAGACACCACACTTCCTGTGGACTGGCAGAGAGGTAAGACTTCTGAGCGACAACCGACTACCAACAGATCGACCGCCAGCCACTGATGGTCACAGAATACGTGTTGAAGATGATCGACTAATTGGGAATTGTAAACCAGATGGCCCGCACACACCTCGAAGCATCGCAGAGATACCAGAAGGATTATTACGACAAGAAGTGCTTCGGAGCCCCATTACGAGCAGGCGACCGGGTATGGTTTCACTAGACAAGCAATTCCGGGAATACCAGCGAAACTATAAAGCAGCGAGTACTATCAGATGTGAACTGTCATTCGAGAAGTTGGATCGACGCAACTATCCTTTGTGACACATTTCAACCAATTCAAACCATACCTGCCACACACCACCCCGGAGACAAATAAAAGCGAAAACAATTTGAAACTGCCAGAGATTATCGTCGAATTAGAGGTACCGATTGAGGGAGTAATCGCTAGGACATCAAAGATTACGCTTTCTGGATAAGGGGATAGTGTAGTATGAAACCGAAACTGATTGACACCCAGAATATCGAACTGTCGTTGACAACCACCTTTCCCCCGTTCCTTTTACAGGCTGTACAAGTTGCGGGACACCCAGCACAGTGATACAAGACATTGAGAACGAAGACCAAAGCAGCATCCACACGTAACATTACCATTTTGTATAGTAACCATTTCATATTCTTATATTGTTGCTACGTTTTGCATCAATATAATTTTGTCCGAATCCGTCGAGTCTTCTCCCTGACTGAAACATACTACAATATGTTTTGCAGTTAAAATCCGACTAGTCTACCTGTAGGTTATTTCAATGTGCGCCATTCCATGTTCCATTTATGAATCTTAATGGAAGGGCTTGATCCTAATATAAAAGCCAAATTGTGGTTTTCAATATATTTCTCGTCAAAAAATGGAGATTGAACGCATACTAATATTCTGCCTTTCAGAAAACACTGTTGACTCGAAGTGTTGGAAGACAACGAAACCGCCGACAACACAAGGATCTGGACGCGCGATTGGCAAGAGCCACAATTCGTCCTATGAGAACTGAACTGAACTGAACTGAACTGTTAGGTGCAAATTTGAAATTGGCATCTTCGATAACTTAATTGTAAAATCCGAACTGAGGATTTCAGATTAGATGTTTCTGATTTAACTCCCGAATTCCGAGGATAAGTATGTTTGTGCATATATAGACCGTTGACTCGAGTGATCACTCTGGGAAGTTTTCCAGAAGTACATTTTATTACCTAATACAATGTAATTTCTGTCGCCTGTCTTAAGACTACGGTACAAAAATAAAAATTCCTTAA